CGAATTTGTGTTGAATTTAAGCAATAATTCAATGCAATTAATTCCGAATTTACAGTGTCTAAGCTACTATAAATCACCGTAAATTTCGGCTCAAATCTATGATTTTTCGACCCTGGCCGAGTGGCTAGCGCTCTTGCCTCCCGAGCTAAAGGCCAGGGTTCGACTCCCCGGCGCGGCAAGCTTTTGCTTTTTGCTTTTTCAGTGCTATGGCTTAGCCGCCTTGCCATTTAGTTGTTTCGATTTTAATTTTTGATAGAATTTACTAAAAAAAGTCTTGAAATATGGCTTTATCGAGCCCCTCTCTTTCAGTCAAAAATTTGTTAAGCTTTTTAGATCTCAAAAACCCTTTATAATGATATGAAAATGGTCTTTTTTCGTCATTATTTAAACTGCATGAAATTCTCTTAATTTTTAAAAACTTTTGGATTTGCGAAAAAATGATTCAAAAAAGCTTGATGTTCCCCATTTTCTCTAACATTTATTGATTGCATGGGTACTTCCACAAAAAAAATTTTGCGTTCCGCACCAGATTTTTATCTTTATTAAAAATTTTTAATGTTTGCAACCTCTAAGAAAAAATATTTATAAATTTTACGAATTTTAGTATTTATAAAAACTCCGAAAAATGTGGCAGTTATTGAAATTTTTGTGGAATTAGTAGATATTAAAACCCCTTAAAAACGTACGCGATCCGCGCCGATGGCCTCGGTGTCACGGGCAAACTGGGCGAAGCGCTCTTGCAGCAGTTGTACATGTTCGTAGTCTTGCCCATTCTCCTGGCTGCCGGCCACCACTTCTTTGTCGGCAATCCACTGCAGTAGATCGTCAATCTCGCGGTGTAGCCCGTACAGCTCGAGGGTCTCCTCCAGACGGCGGCGACGTTCCTTCGAGAGGTCCTGAATGGTGTATGATTAATTAGAAAATTTAGAAAATAGAAAGCTATTTTTTAAACAGGAATTTAAATATTGGCGAGTTTTTGGTGATTTTAACGCATGGCTTTAATTCAAATGTCGACATTTGGAGTAAAATTAACCTAAAAATGCTAATCAAATGTTTCAGATTTTGAGGTGGTTTTTTTGGTAATCGTAACAATAATTGATTTCGATGTTGACATTCGTTTAATTAACGAGAAAAGCACCAAAAACGAGCTTTTGAACATTAATTAAGTTTCATAAAATCGCGAAATTTAATAGTAGGTTTAATTTAAATTTTTCTAAAGCTTAGGCGCGATACTCGCATTTCGACAAATTTTAAAAATCTATTTTTTTTATAAATGACGAATACGTTGTCAATGGTACTATTACCAATGGTATTAATGTTCGTCATTTTTCGTATAAATGTTTGATTTTTTGAAACCTCTTTTTTTTGCAATAATTCTTAAGTCGAAATTTACAAACTAAAGTAAATAATTTATGAAGAAGGTTGACGAAGAATAAACGTCAGGCATTGCATAAAATTGGGGGATTTAAAAGGCCGTCCGCGGGTCACTCGAACAGTCCCCATTATGGCTTGGCACAGTTTTTTTCGACACCATTTTTTTGATGCCATGTGAAAGAACATGGTCGAATTAGTAGGACTGCATAATTTTGAAAGTTTAAAAAGTTTGTTTTTGGGGTTTAAATGGCCGTTAAAGTTGGGTACCCCGAAAAACTATCTCGGAGCTCACTGCACAGAACTGACTGAAACTTTGGGATAATACCTAATTTGGGGTGCTGATCATTTTTGTAATACATTGTGAAGCACGAAAATGGCCAGAACATAGGAATATCGCGTAGTCGAAACAGTTTTTTCGGGTTTTCTTTATGATGGAAAATTTGCTGTAAGCTGAAAGTAACATCAAAAGATGCGCAAAAATTTTCTGCATCGAATGGTGTATTTTTTACGATGCAGCAAGTTTTCCATCATATCGAAAAATTAGCTTTTCTAAAATCAAGAAAAACCATCGCAAAATGTATAAGAAAGCTTATTTTCCCACAGATGTAAATGGAGTCCCATATAAAAACTAGCCTAAACCAAAAGCAAAAAGAGCAAAAAGAAATTCCCTTCCGGCGCGAAACTGACGGTTTGCCGGGATCGAACCCGCGATGGTTCGCCTGGGGGCACAGGGGACAGCCACTAGTGGGCGCCGCCAGGTCCCAGGCGAACGACCCGAGTTCAATTCCAGCCCCCTGTCAGAAGCCGAATTTCTTTTTGCTCTTTTTTGCGATCGGTATGATTTCGCCTCTAGAAATTGGGGAACGTTTTTTATATTTGCGATTTTTGAATTTTTTGAGCTGAGGCTCCGTAAATAAGATTTTTCGACATGATGGAAAACTTGCTGCATTGTAAAAAATACACCATTCGATGCAGAAAATTTTTGCGCATCTTTTGATGTTACTTTCAGCTTACAGCAAACTTTCCATCATAAAGAAAACCCGAAAAAACTGTTTCGACTACGCGATATTCCTATGTTCTGGCCATTTTCGTGCTTCACAATGTATTACAAAAATGATCAGCACCCCAAATTAGGTATTATCCCAAAGTTTCAGTCAGTTCTGTGCAGTGAGCTCCGAGATAGTTTTTCGGGGTACCCAACTTTAACGGCCATTTAAACCACAAAAACAAACTTTTTAAACTTTCAAAACTATGCAGTCCTACTAATTCGACCATGTTCTTTCAAATGGCGTCCAAAAAACGGGATCAAAAAAAACTGTGCCAAGCCTTGTTCGGACGGCTCGCAAACGGCCTTTTAAAATTTCTGAAATATGTGTGTTTCATGAAACATCCTTTTGCAAAATCATAGTTTTTAGAGTTTCGATTTTTGGGATTTTATATACTAATTTTAATAATTTAAAAATATATAATTTTAGATGATTTAGACAAAATTCAATGGAGTCCAATTAGCGATAATTTTTCCCATACCTGCAGTCCGGCGTAGAGCTTCTCGAGCTGGGCCTGGCGGACTTGGATTTGGTCGCTGAGGGGGCGAGCCCTCATCGACGAATTTCTGGGCTTGCGAGGCGAGGTGCTTGATCGTGTCGGCGAACTTGTCGATGTCGGCCTGAAACGGGGAATTTATTGATTTTTTTTTATCGTTGTTTATATTTTGCTTTAGAAAAATTGGCAATTTCACTCTTAAAAAACGGCAAAAATCTATATCCACACCTGCACCAATCGGGTCTGCGTCTGCGTATTTAATGTATTTTACATGTTATATTTTATTTTTTAGATTTTCGAAATGTGCGATAAATTATGGCTTGAGTTTTAGCCATACCTTCTAAAATGTCAAAAAGTTATTTTTATGGTTATTTTATTTTATTTATATTTAATTTTTTCCTTTGGTTATTTTATTTTATTTATTGGGTTTCCGGTTGTTTTATAGTGAAGAACGTTCCCAAAAATGTCGTTATTACTCTTGACAGTAGACAGCTTCATGGGAATTTCGAGTGACAATGCTATGAAACATGCTTTGACAAAACCTATCGAAATTTTATCTTGTTTTTCACTAAGTATTATGAAAAAAACAACGTTCCAACGAGAATCTGCTGGACACAGTTTAAAAAAATGTTTCGAAAAATTTTACGATTCATTTTGCATTTCCCTGATGTAATTCACGCGAAATTTAGTCTGAGAATAATTTTTCAGGGAAACTCGTAATGGGTCCAAAATTATACATTTTTTTATGTTTAAAACTCTTAGTTTTAGCTTTCGTGTTAGTTTAGTTTTAGTCTTTCAAAATTTTAAAAAACTATTAAAGTAACTTTTTAAAATTCAAGAAAAGTTTTTAAAGTGATATTCCTTAAAAATGTCATAGAAAATAATGTTTCGAAAAATTTCATTGTTAAATTTGGTTTGAGACCATCAATGGGGTGGGTTTCTCTCTTGCCAAAAACGCTCACCTGTAGCCGCTCGTGCTTCTTGATCTGGTTGCGGGTGGAGAAGTGGTCTTTGCCCCTCTCATCCTGCATCATATACAGCTCTTGCTCACTCATCCACGCCTCAGCCTCGCCGCAGTCGTGCAGGAATTGGTGGGCCTTCTCGCTCTCGGCCAGCTCGTCCCGTCGGGCCTTCAGGGCCTCTGCAAAAATATGCTGATTAATTCGAAAATACTAAAAATCGGTATTTTTTCAATTTAAGCAATTTAATATTTTGTGGTTTCTAGTTTTAAAGACATTTTAAACTTCACGATTTCCAAATAAAATTTGGAATCCATCCTCGTATTTTTCAGAAATTTTGATAAAAAATGTTTCATCCGTTGCGATCCGCAAAAACTTTATATGAAGGCTAGTGGGCGAACAAAGATTCTCTTTGAATAAACTTACACTTTTGAGGCTAAAATTTTTTCAATTTTAATCAGCATAAATTCTCACTTAGTTTTTAAGGAATTTTCATAACGCAAGGTATCAAATTTTAAAAGCCGTTTGGAAAAATTTAAGTTGAAAATCTTCCGGCAGCGAATTGCGGCAAATTGTTCACAAACTCTTCCCCTTGTAAAGCATTAAATCATTGCCGTTTACTGCTAAAAATAGTCCTGACGAAATAGAAAAATTGCGTTTTTGTGATCCGGCCAAACATTAAGATGAGAATATCATATCGGCTGTCGTTGCGAGATTAGCACGCTGTATTTTTATTGAAATTTACAGTTTCCAGGAACATGTTTTTTTTTTAAAGAGTAGAAAGAGCGGGGAGCAGGGGTAACATAACGCGGGGCGCGAATTATTTTTCGACAAAAAATCTTTTTAAATACGGTTTTTCGGGCTAAAAAAAGCGCTTAGTATATTTTTCGACGCTCGATCGGATGGCAATTTCAAAATATCGATAATATTGAAAATACCGAGAATCGTTCTGGTAGTTTTCAACGATAATTTTTATGCTTTAAAACTTTTTTATTACATTTTTTTGCGCTGAAAATAAGTTCGCTTGGTAGATTTTGCGACGCTCTATCGAACGGCATATCGAAAATGTCGAAAAAATAGCGAAAATATCGAAAACTAGATTTTTTCACCCCATTCCCCCCGCTAAGCGACATGTACCAATGATTTTAAATACAAACCTCCCAGCTCGCTCCACGCCTCCCTCAACTCGGCGATCTTCAGCTCAAAAGCGGCCGAATTTTCGTGGCCAGCCTCGATGAGTTGACGGCCATTCGAACAGATGTCCTCGAGCCACGGCTCGTGATTCGAGACCTCGTTCTCCAATTGGCCCTGTTTCTTCTGGAGACGATGACAATCGGGCAGGCTCTCGCCCAGTTGGCGGGCTTTCGCCTGGCCCAATCTCTCGGCGATCCACATCTTCTCGTCCTCGACGTCACGCCCGAATTGGAAGGCCGCCTTCTTGCGTTCGAGTTGGCGGCGACGGTCGTCGAGTGGCGCCTGGAATTTTTCATTTAAGATTGGTAATTTAGAATACATTAGGTTCAGGTTTTGTATAATTTTAAAAGTGGCTCTCCTGGCGTCGTCTTGGTTTTTTTCCAAGCCTAGCTTAAGCCTAAGCCTCCGCCTAAGTCTGAACCTAAGCCAAGCCTTAGCCTAACCCTAAACCCAACTAAGCCCAAGCTAAGCCGAAGCCTAAGCCTAAGCCTATGCCAAGCCTTAGCCTAACCCTAAACCCAACTAAGCCCAAGCTAAGCCGAAGCCTAAGCCTAAGCCTATGCCAAGCCTTAGCCTAAGCCTAAGCACAGACGAAACCGAATCCTACGCCTAGCTTAAGCCTAAGCCTCTGCCTAAGTCTAGGCCTAAGCCCAAGCGAAGCCTCGACCTAAGCCTAAACATAAGCCTAAGCCCAAGCCGGAGCCGAAGCCTAAGCCAAAGCCTAGGGCTATGCCTAAGCCAAGCCTAAGCCTAAGTCAAGACCTAAAAAGCCAAGCCGCGGCCCCACTTGATTCCAAGCCTAAGCTCAAGCCTAAGCCGTAGCTTAAGCATGACCTGAGCCTTGCTTGTGCCTAAGCCCAAGCCAAGCCTAAGCTTAAGCCAAGCCTCTGCGGCAGCCTAAGCACGACCTCAGCAAAACCTAAGCCTACGCCTAACCCTAGCTTAAGCCCAAGCCAAGCTAAGCCCAAGCCTAAGCCAGAGCCCAAGCCTAAGCCTAAGCCAAAGCCCAAGCCAAGCCCAAACCAAGCTAAGCCCAGAACTAAGCCGAAGCCTAAGCCAAGCCAAGCTAGGCCTAAGCCTATCCAAGTTCTAAAAACTTAAAAAATCCTTCAAAAAATACCTGAAGCCTTTGCAGCTGCTCCTGAACAGCGAGCCGATGCGCCTTGATGTGCTCAAGCTGATCGGGGAGCATCTCCTCGAGCTGTGGCTCCATCGCGGCCAGTTGATCAATCTGGGCGGCGCGCTTGACCAGCTCGGACTCGATGAGCTGCTGCTTTTGCATGGCCACATTCACGGTGGTCAGATCTCCAGGGCCGCCCTGTTGCTCGGGCCCCCCGACCATCATCTCCGCCTCCAGCTGCTCGGCGAATTCCTGGAAGTTAGGGCCAATCAAAAAAGTAAACGTTTTTATGATATATTTAAGTTTAAGTTTTTGGTTTTTTGAAATGATTTAAAATTGATGCCCATTTTTAAAGCGGCAATTCTCAGCAGTTATGAAATTGAAAAGTAATAATTTAAAGACTCTTTCGCAACTAGAGCATTAAAACCGTCTCATTTTTTAATGGTTTTAGAAAGAGATTTAGATTATTTTAGATTTTTTTTGAAAAGAATTATATTCGGTAAGTAGGTAAAAACCCGATAGCAATCTATTCTATGAAATGTATCAATTTTAAATTTCGATTTCACCAATAAATATTCAAGCAAATTTTAAACAATCTTTCACAAAAGATTACTTTTTGGAAAAAGTTTCTCAAAGATTTTACTTTTTCCAATTCAAATCCCAATTCTCAAGCATATTAACACAGTAGTAATGAGTACAGTCATAGTAAGCTTAAAACTAATTTTTTTGGGAAATCAAGAGTATTTTCTACGCCTATTAAGGCCCCGATATTCGACTGATATCCTATCTTTTCCGAAACACATTTTTCCGGAAACATTCTATCCGAAAGATTAATTGTGATTTTACTTCTATCCCTATTATTAAACTACTACCATTAATTATTACGGTTATAATAAGTTTGAAATTCACTTTTTTGAAATGATAAAAGTTTGGCCGGTCCATTAAAACTTTAATTATCGATTGGCACTTTATCTTTTTTGAAACGCGCTCGTTCAAATTTTACTTTTATCACGATTTTTTAAATGCTACCGTTTCAGCTGGTTTTTAAAATCTCCAATTAACATACACGCATATCGGCGATGCTCTGGACGTAGAGTTGCTGGCGGTTGGCGTCGAAGAGCTTCTGGCCCTTCTCCTCAGTCGCCTTTTCCAGCTGGACCCATTGGGTGGTCAGGTCGAGCAGCTGAGGGTCGATCGTGCCCGCGAATCTGGAAAAAAGAGAATTTAAGCTCGTTTAATTTAATATAATTAAATTTATTAAATTAAACCTGATTTATAGCACCTGGAATTTTGAAAAATTTCTGCTTTACTAAAAAATCCAAATTGTAAAATTCATGTTTCATGAAAACGCTTTGCCCAAATTCTTTTTCGTTGGAAAGTAATCTTTTTTTCTACCAAAAAAACCGCCAAAATCAGTTGCAAATTTGTAATTTAAATACGGAACTATAATTGGCAGTCTTTAGATGTTGTTAACATTTCCAAAACACGTTTTTAGCGAAAATTTAAAGGAAAATGGATTTTCACGTTTTTGAAAATAAAAAAATAGGTGAGACCAGCTGAAATCGACGAAAAAATGTTTAAAAAAATTTGGTATATTGCGAAAGAGAGCCTGCAGATGCCAAACTGCCTTAGTTTTCGCAAAATTGGTAAACCGTAATTTACGTTTTTTCGGGAATAAGCAACAAATTTTATTTTCTAGATACCATTTTTCCTATTTAATTTCTTGCGGATCTTTTCATATCGTGGATTTAAAAAACGGTATTGTAAAATTGCTGTGAAAAGTCAAAATTATGCGCCAACATTTTTGAGGCGAATTCTGAGGGATCTACTTATATGTTTCATGAAAATCCAATTCTTTCGGCGATTTGATCCATTTATTAATTGTCTTCCGCTTTCGTTGTTCGCCTCGAAAATTCAACAAATTTAAAATTTAAAAATAGACAATCGCTTGCGTAAACCATAAAACGTACTCTGGCTTGTCGGTCTCGAGCACGAGCGCCGCGTTCTTCAGGCTCTCCAGCCGCTCCTTGTTGGCCTGCAGCTCGGACTGGAATGCCTGGTGCCGGGTGAACTTCTTGGTGATCGTCTTCGCGTCTCTGCAAATTAGGAAGATAAGATTTTTTTAAAAATGGATATTTTTTTGTTTCTGCCAAAATATAATTTTGCTAAATTTAATTAGCTTAAAATATAAGCCTTCGAGCTTGGAAAACATGAAATTCCGACGGTTCAAAAATCACGTTTTTTGGGGGAAAGATGTTTTAACGGAATTGCGGAATTATCAATTTCATCAATATCAATTTCGATACATTGTAAATTCCGACAAAACGAAATTTCGACATTATGAATTTTGACGTCCAGATTTACGTCGTTATCAAATTTCGGCATTATGAATTTCGAGATTATGAATTTCGATATTATGAAATTTCGACGAGTGGACATTTTGAAGCTTAGCATAATGTCGGCACTTTGAGAGTAACCCGTCGAAAGCGTACCTGTAGGTCTCGTCCTGAGCCCTGATCATCTTCTCCTCGATCCATTCCCGCAGCTCGTCGCAGTCCGACAGGAATTGATGCAACTTCAGGCCCTCGTCGAATTTGAGGAGTTGAGCCTCAGCCTTTTCGCGATTCGCCTGCCTTCGATCGGCAATGTTTGCCGTTTTCTTATGGATTTTGTCCGCGGCATAATGCCCGCTGCTGCTGTGCTGATTTCCCAGCGCGATCACCGCGTCCAGGCGCTCGTCGTTCGCCTGAAACATCGAAAAAAATTTTACAAACATCAGACAAATTAAAAATTTATGAAATTACAATTACAAAAATTAAAAAAATTTTCAAATCCGTTTAAATTTAATAGTTTCCTTTAATCAATAAATTTTCATTAATATTATTATTTTTAAATAAAAATTCAGTTACAATTAAATTTGGAAAAATTCAAGGGCTATATGGCAATTTTCATTTAATTTGAATCATATTAAATGTTAAAACAAATAAAAATCAAAATCGCTGAAATTTCTTTAATTGGTAGTGCTGCTAAAGAATTTATTTTTTGTTACTACTTTTATTAAATCAGTAAATTAAATTAAAATTAAACCTTCAAAAACCAAACATATTTTTAATTCATTTTCACTTAATTTTAATCATATGCAGATTAAGTCACAAACCTCAAAATGAAATTACTTATCTAAGATTCCCTTAATTTACAGCAATTTATCATAGCAACCATTGACCGCTATTAATTAAATTAACTACACAGCGCATGTACTGTATTCCCCTTGAAACTTTTTTCTAATAAATATCGTTCCAAGCTGTTTTATTTTTTGTCAAAAGCGTACTCAAAAAATCATTTTTTTCGTACCTGCATGGTGGTCATGAAATCCTGATGGCGTCGCTTCAGATTCTCGGCCTGCTCGAGGGTGGTGGGTGTGTCGTCTTTGGTGAGGAAGTTCTCCTGCTGCGAGAGCAACACCTCGGCGCTTTTCGCGTCGCGCAGGAACAGCTAAAAAGCAGTAATTCGAATAGCTCCCAACATTTTTGAATCCAAAATTTAATGTTTCAAAAAATCGCAGTTTTCGCTGGGTCGATTCGCAATTAATGCCACCACCGTAGGGTGAAAGAAGTCGGTGCTTGAAGAAAAATCTCTTTAGCTATCTATTTACGTAAATAGCAAAGTATCTTTTCTGAAGTTAATTAAAATACTAGTAAACACGATGCATATTCATTAGCAGATAACAAGTATTTTTAGATTAAACTTAAAAAAAGCCAAAAATATTTCCGTTCCCGCTTTGAAAAGTGTATGTTACAAATTACAAAGAAATCACAGCCTGCGGTGTTAGGTTTAATTAATTTGGCGCACTGGCGAGGCATAAATGTTTTATAAAAATCCAAGACCCTGTAAGCTAGTGCTGCAATAATTCCTGAAACATTTGTAGAAAAAAAATCCTCATTCCAGGTCGTTTGATTGCCCTTTAATACGGTCATTTTCAGATAGGTTTTAGAAAAAAGAAGCCTTGACTTTAACAACAGTCTTTCCATATTTTTTGTTCAAGCAGTAAGCCAAATTTTCTAAAATGTTTACAGTGATTAGTTACAGTTCGAACAAAACAGTCAAATTTTATCGGATAAATTTTGGTGTTTCGTCAAAATAATAGTCACGAGTCTATCAGTCAACGGTTAATTCGCGGATCGACGTAATATAAAAATTAAAATTTTTTGGTTACGGATTTATGTAATGTATATTTCCTTAAATAGATTTTTTTACCACAAAATCACGTGTTTCGAAATAATAAACGAGTCTTACGGTCGCTATAGTAGTAATTTTCCTTTCATCGAGCCTCGAAACTAGACTATTTTTCAAAAAAATATTCTCCGCCATTCTGGTTTCTTTGCAAAAAAATAATGTGTTTCCAAAAAATATTAGTTTCCGATGATTCGGGATAGAATTAATTAATTTCCCCTTTTATCTTCAAGCTATGTTTTTATCGGAAAATGGACGTAATTCTTCATTAACAAATATTAAAAATTTGCTTTTAAAACGAAAAAAACCGGTGGTGTAGCTTAGGTTAGAAAATTAGGGATGTTATCTTTTCAATAATTTTATTTGGTTTAAATTTTCGAAATGTTTATATTTTTTCTCTTGTTTTTATATCTAAAAATTTTGTAAAATGCTATAAAAATTATGTATGATTCGTTACAGTGCCGTAGTGACTCACTGGCAAAAATTGCCCCCCGGTAACAGAACAGAACCGGAGTTTTTTGGAAAAAGCAGCTTTCGAAATTTTGTGTATAAAAACGCTCACATACCTGAAGATTGAGTCCCTGCGAGAGGAGATCGAGCCTGTTGTCCCACATCCGCTGCAGCTCTTCCCATCCCTCCTGCAGTCCGGCCAGCCGTTGCCGCAGGAACATGTACTGGGGATCCGTTTGGTCTTGGGTCACTCGATCGCCCATCGCCCTCATCTTCCTGTAGTCCTCCGCGTAGCCGTCGATCTCGGTGCGGATGGCGTTGTGCTGCTCGAGCAACACCTCGGCCTCCCCCAGCGAGTTCGGCTCGTCTTCCGAGGCGACGGCGCGTTGCGTGGCGGTCAGCCACGCCTGGAAATCAATCGATTAGAATTTTCACAATTTTTTGAAAATCGATGTATCACACATTTTTAAATACAAATGATTTAGAAAATCATAATTATTAAAATTTAGTTCATAAAGGTAGGTGCAAAATAGGAGGGACAATCCAAGATCAAAGCAACAACCAGATCCTGGTCGATTTTGCAACTTGATGTTTCAGAAATTTTCAAGAATCCGAGGTTTCTTTTATCATTATTAGGTGCTCCAAGTAATTCATTAGTTTTCCCTTTTACCAAAAAATCAGTTCAAAAATTAGCAAAAAAAATTAAATAAGCTAGAAAAGCCAGGATAATCGATCCATTCCAACAATTTCATTCTTAACAGTTTTCTTTTAATGTTCCATTTGAATTATCGAGAAAAATAATATTAAAAATACTGATTGTTTAGCAATCCTCACCTGGAAATCGGTTAAAAAGCATGTTTAATGCGATACTAAAACTCACCAAGTTTTCAAGGTAAGCATTCGTGAAAATTGCGCAACCAAAAACATTAAATTTGGATTTTAATTTTAGTAATAAAACTAATTAAATTGCTCATTTTTAACGTATTTAAGCAGAGTGTTATTTTTTTGCCTGGATATGTGTAAAAACCATATTTACGCCGAAGCCGTCATCAAAATTAAATAAATTATGCTAATTTTTAAGGTTTTTAAAGTTATAATTTTACCTGGAAATGGGTTAAAAAGTATATTTAATACCGTGATAAAATAGATAAATTATGCTGCTTTTGAGGGTATTCAGAGTGAAATTTTACTTGGAAATGCGAGAAAAATCATAATTAATACCGTTGCAAAATTAAATAAATTTCTTGAATTTTTTCCTGGAAATTAGAGAAGAATTATATTTTGATACCGTAATAAGATTACAATAAATTAAATTAATAAAATAAAATATACTAATTTTAAGGTATTGCGAGTGATATTTTTACCTGGAAATGGTCGAGATCCCTGAGGAACCTCTGCAGATCGCCGGCTTCGTCGAGCTTCTCCTGGTGCTCGCGCACTTTCCGGTTGAGCAGATCCCAGACTTGGTGGATACGCTTGATATCGTCTCGAATGGCCATCGCCTCTTCCGGCTTTTCCCTCTGGATCTCGTCGGCTTCCTTGTGGAGGGCGTCAAGTTTGGCCTGGATCGCGCCGAGGTCACGCTCCATTAGGGAGAGACGCCGCTGCAGTTTCATCACGCCTAAAAAGGTTTAGGGTTTCTTTCGAAATGCCGAAAATCGTAATTTCGAAATTCAGAATGTCGAAATTCAAAATATCGAAATTCGCGTCGAAATTTCAATCCTGATTTTTTTTGCATAGGATTTGGGTTTTTAGCGGGAGTTTGCGTGTTAAATTTCAACAACAAAATTACTAAAAGGTAAAAACAGATACATTAAATACGTCAGAAATTGAATTCGAAACGAATTTCGCCATTACGAATTTTTACATGATGCTTTTCGATATTTCGAAAGGAACTTCATTACGGTTTCATGATGGAAATTTATAGTATTTTTAATAGTTTTTGATTGCTGAGAAGTTACAGAAAATATCTGAACAATTTTTGCGTTTTTTTGTCACTTTTCATATATCTTTTATTAAAAAAATAAATGTTACGGAATTTTAATGATCTTATATAGAAAAAACTGTTCAAAGCGCTCTAAAAATGGTTTCTTTTTCTTTATGGCGAGGTGCGGGAATAATTTCTCCCCCCCGCTGACAGATTTGGACGATTTGGAAATCATTCGCAAATAGGTTAAGTCCATATTTTTGATGTGGTTTGTTTTTTGAAACATGCCGATCAGCACGCCAGTAAAAAAATTAGCTCTCGACACTTTTTCAAAGAAAATACGTTTCAAATTTCTCCAATTTTCGCTAGCTTTTTAATTGCTAATTCGGTAATGTCGACGGGATCCTTGGTATAATTTCTAACAAAAATCCTAACGTACCCGACAAATCGTTGGTGAGCGTATCGGAATCATCGAGAATCCGGGTCTTATCCTCGATCCAGGTGACCGTCTCCTGGCAGTCGATGCGGAAGGTCTCCAAGCGGTGCGCCTTCTCGAGTTCGGCGCGCTTTTGGTCGACCTGAAAAAAGGGTTTCGCTGACTTTGAACAAACGGAAAAATCTGCTGATTTTCGCAAGCAAAAACAATATTTATAGACATCAAAATTAAAGGCAAACTGGTTAGCTGATTTTTCCAAAAAAAAGGCTGTTTCATCATTCGGCAAATTCGGCGCGCCGGGTGCAGCTTTACTGCCGACAACTTTTCGATCCAAAATTCAAGCTTTTCATGAGTCGAAACTAGGATATCTTTTAGTGATCTTTGATCACTGGAAAGTCAACAAAAGTAAAAGAAAGTAAAAGTTAAAGTTAAAAAATTAGCATTCCGGACTTTTTTTGCTCTTTTTCACACTTTTTCGGCCAAAAAAGTCAAAAACTTGCGAAAAAATTGTAGTTTGTTAATCAGTTTTTTATACCACAAAAACCGTGTAAAACGCCGTAAAATAAGCTATATTTTGTTATAGGGCCGTACTTGGGAAAAATTGGAAATCAGCTAGAAAAAAGTGTTTCATTAAGCAGCCGATAACGCGCGATCAATTTGCGCTTAATGGAGCACCGTTGCAAAGTGAAATCCATTGCCAAACACTGGGATCTTTCGTTTCCAACCCCTTTAAAATCCAAAACCTGTGAAAAAAACGCACCATATCCCGGAGCTGGGCCCAGCGAGCGTTGAGGCGATTCTGACGAAGGAGAATCTCATCCGAGTTCGGGTGCTCGACGTGAAGCAGTTGACGGGCAAGCTCGTTCACCGTTCCGACCTGAACATGGAGTATTTTTTAAAGAATCGGCTCGAATTATTAAAGGCTGATTTAAAGTATTGTTTATACCACGAAGAAGCTTGATTTACTAGTCTAATTCGATCTTCCGGTCACTAACGGGCGCCGAGACACGATTTATCGGGTATTTTTTCGAAACATTTTTCTTTAAATGCCAATTAGCTTTGTTAGCGAGCTACACCTATTAACTTTTCCGTTTAAGCTAATGTGCATCAAGCTTTCAAAAAGTTGCGAAAACCGTGATGAATTTTTTATCGAAACATGCCAACATTTTTTCTTCAACTAACGTATTTGCTCAAAACCAGCTTTTAAAAAAATGTTTTTCAAAGGTTTATAAAATATCACAATTTTCAAATTCATCAGTCACATATGATCCTAAAAAAAACAAATTTCTTCCTTTTTTGTAAATTCAGCCAGCCTAAACACATGTTTCAAATATTTTTAAAAATAAGAAATTTAGAACAAATTAATTCGAAAATCAAACGCAGGCCGTTTTCCAATTTTTTGTAAATTTACGCGATTCTAAAAATATGTTTCAAAAATTCATAAAAATTCGGAATTTTAGAATCAACTAATTCGCATATCAAAAAATTTCGGTCAATTTTTCCAGCTCTCGGCAACTAAAGCAAGCCGACCTTTTGCTCCTGGTTGCGCATGTCGTGCTCGAGGGTGTCGAATCGGTGGCGCATGATTTCGACTTCTTCGAGGTCTTGGCCCGGGACAAGGGTGGCAAGGAGTTTTCCCTTCTCGTCAATCCACGCCTCAACGGAGTCGGCATCAGCATACAATTTGTAGAGGGACAGGGCATCGATGAGGCGTTGACGCCGCAGCTGGGCCAATGCTTCGAGCTCGGCCTTTCGCCGAAGAGTCGTGTCGAGCCGGGTGCGGATATCCGGGTGCTCGCGCGCTTCCACGGGTAGCGCTTCGGCCTGAAACAAATTTGTTATAATTTTTTTATTAAATAGAAATTCAAATATAAATAGTGGAAGCGTTTCTAAACGGTTTTTGCCGGTTCCTAAGGGTGAAAACTTGAAAAAGGTTGATTAACAACTCACAAAAATATCGATTTTACGGCTAAAAATCCCGGTTTTTTAATTAAAATGGCGCCTTTTAAATCTTTGCTAACATTGAAAAATTCCAAATTTGAAAATTCTAAACCGTTTTTGTCTGATGCTAAGCGTGAAAACCTCACAGTTTTCACTTCAAAAATTTTTAATTTTCGATATTTCTAGAGAAATTTTTATAGCTTTTCAAAAACATTAATGGCATGCCATTTGCTAAACAAAACTTTATGGGGTGTCACCCAAGCCAGATAATTATATTAAAATTTGCTGAAAAATTAATACCAAAAAATACGAAACATTTTGCAATCTGGGAATTTCTAAATATTAGTTTGCAAAAAAATTGCAAAGGGTTAAGACGAATGAATGTCTAGTTTTTCGAACATTTATTTTGGAAAAAAGATGAAACTTTTAAATTTTTGGGTTTTAAAAATTTATAAAAGAATATTTTTTGAACGATCTTTTTTCATTTTTTTATTAATTTTTATCGATTATGATAATTATTCTATATTTTTGGTTTTTTCATGAAATAAAGTTTCTACCTTCTCGTGCAGCTGCTTGATGTGCTCGTCGAACTTGTCGAGGTCGCGGTCGACAGTGTCGTGTTTTTGGAGGAGCAGCTTGGCCGTGGATTCATCCCTGCCAACGTCATCCGAAGACACGACTCGAAGGGTATCCAGTAGATGAGCATCAACGTCATCGGCGTCCGTGAAGAATTGGTAGTAGTCGACACCACCGGTGAGACGTTGACGACGAGCCGCGGCAAGCTCTGCAAGGGCATTTTTCAATGATTTTCCGATTTTAAACCCTTTTTAAATCTTATTTTAATTGAAAAACTGAATTTTAAATGCTACATTTATTCCTGATTAAATAAAAAGTTTAAATAAAAATACAACACTTCAATTTCTAAGAGGCGGTTCAAATTTTTTTATGGCTATTTCACACTTACTAATCACCAGAATTTTTATGTAAATGGAATATGTTGAAAACACGAATTTTTTCGCTGCATGTTAAGTTTTAGAAAGTTTTTGATCTAGTTCTAATCCAAAGATTTAAATGGCTTTTTTAATTTGCTGCTTAATTTAATTTGAGATAGCCAGCAAAATCCATTTTTCTGCCTTTATGAATCTGAGTATATTGACCGGCCAAAGAATTTTCGTATATTGGAAAAATTTGAAACATAGATTATTTCTTAGCAAATTTGGGAGTTTTGGAAATAAGCTTTTCAATTAAAAGCATCCCTAGATTTTAGCAATAATTTTCAATTATCAAAAAATACCTATATTTAAATTGTTAGTATACCAGATGGTTACAGTCGCTTCGCGACTGCAACCATCTGGCCTTCGGGCTACCCTACATGTCCTACTCCACCACATCCTTTCCCACCTCCATCAATACCCCCCATAGCGGAAATCCCCTTCAAAAACTACCTAAATACCTTCCTGATGGCTTTAGGTACCCCCCATGGCTGAAATCCCCTTCAAAAACTACCTAAATACCTTCCCGGCGACTTTAGATACTTTAAATGATCTAAATAATGAATTAACATAATTAAAAAAGTATTAAAAAGTATTAAAGTAACTTAAAAAGCGACCTGGGCGCGCGAAGGGGCCTGGCGAAGAGGGACGAGGGGAAAGGGGGCGTGGCCTCCCGGGAGAGGGGCCCCCACTCCTTTTATTAAGGCGCCACTTTCAAAGTTAATTTTAATAATTTAAACTAAAAGTTTTTCATAATTTTTTTATCGGTTTGGGGGTTTCTGACCACGCTCTATCCGGATCCGAAGAGAGCTAAGCTCTAGCTCCTTTCCCCTTCGAGTTGAATTCGGCTTCGGACAGACAGACGGACGCGTCAAGAAAATTATTATAGTTGATTGAAAGTATATATTTTTTATTTTATATCAGTCGCAATTTTCAGGTTCTGAAGTTCTGAAATTCTGAACAATTATCAGTTTGTGAAATTTTTCGGTATAGAAAAGGTTTGAAACATGTTTTGCGTTCAGAAATACTGGATTTTAAGAAAGTTTAAATTTCATCCTGAAATTATCAAAAAGGTGAATTTGTTTTTCCGAAAAATTATTCTCGAAATATTAATGCCCATAAAAATTCACAATTTAAGGGTAATTCATGAAACATTTGTTATGCAAAAAGAATTTTTTAAGATACGACCTTTTGAGAAACCTGGGCTTTAATGAAATCTTTGAACATGAAAAATTATATAACAGAAGGAAATAGTTAACTACCGTACCTTTAAGGCGATCGTAGTACTCGCGGGCATCGGCCAACCTTGGCGGGATATTCTCGGCCCCAGGGATCTGTTGGCGTTGCAGATCGTCGCCTTGTCCTTCCAATTCCCCCAGCGTCTTTCCAAGATCCTCCAAATTGTTCTCGGCGTTTTTGTGGATGGCGAGGAGGTGGGATACGGTAACGATATCCCTTCCCGTGTCCGTGCTTCCGAGGACCTAAAAAGAAATACATGTTGCACCGCTTTGAAGGGCTGGATCGCTTTTTAGTGATAGTAGGTCTTTTTGTGCTGCTGGACTATTAGCGGCGGAAAGCCAATTTTTTTGATGAATAATTTTGTATAACTCCATAACGAAGGTAAAAACATACACAATTTTAAAAATAAACAAAGTCAAGATTTCCGAATTTTTAAAGCCTTGACTAACCTTCTAGCAATTAAAGACTAGTAAAACGCGACAAAACACGTTATATATTATCGATACGCGGATAAGATTGCCTCCCCCCCCCCTCGCTAACAGCCTAGTACCAGATTTTAAAACCATTTTTATGCTGACTTTAATATTCTGTCTTATTTCGGACCAGTGGAAAAAAGACCGCTTCGCGGCCATTTTCCACTGGACCCGGTCCCGGAACCATGAATTTGAATACCTTCATTTTTAAGCCTGCGGCGCAAGAGCCCGGGCCAAGGAGCTATTCCTTGGCCTGCGGCGCCAGAGCCAGCGTTGCGTTAGAATCTTTGAGCCTGCGGCGCTAGTTACTGGTTTTTCTCCAGGATCTGGCCTGCGGCGCGAGAGCCTGGGCCAAGGAATTTTCCTTTGGCCTGCGGCGCTAGAGCGAGAGCCCTGCCTAAACCTCGCACATCGAGAGTCTAGAAATATGTTTTGTTGCCGAACTGTCAAAAAGCAAAAAATAAAAATCACCCAGGATCCGAACTCACGACCTTGCGCGTGGTAGGCCGAGCGCGAATCCATTACACCATAGGACAACTGGGTGGAGACCGCCCGAAAGGCCTGTTCTCTCCTGGGCAGACACGGGCAAAGATAAGGGTGGTCGGAGGGAGGCCTTCTGATCACTTTACAAAATTCGATTTTTTAGTCTGAATCTGTGGAAAATTTGTAAAGATAATCAGATGCGCGTGATCCCCATCCGTGATTGCATAAACGGTCCAAATTTCAGCCCGGAATGCCATCAGGGATTCGAGTTATGGTCCGGACACCACGGCCCGAGACGCAATTTATTAAGGACATATCAGAAAAATCTCTATAAAAACTTTATTTGAAAGAATTTTGGAAAATCCGATAAAATGTATCTGGGGAATTACTTTTCCCATCTACCCTCCAAAAATGAGGGCCCAAGTCCCTCTAGGGGCTGAGAAAAGTTCCGGACAACGTGCGCACCCAAAAATGTTAAGGATTTTTCACATTTTTGCCTGTAAAAACGTTGAATCAAAGAAATTCGAAAAATCTAAAAACCGTTTTTTATGAGTTATATTTCCCACCTCCCTGCCAAAAATCAGCTCGAAACTCGGTCTGACGGCCGAGAAAACGGCCGTACAGAAAACAAACATACTTTTCTCGCTTATAGGATAGGATTTAATTTTTGAATTTTTCGACAGTAGGTTTAGAATATGGAATAGATGCGTAAAATTTGTTTGTTTTTTCGAAAAATTAATGCATCAGGAGCGTACATTAACTTACCTTAAACAATTTCGCAAAAAAATGTGAGATTTCTAGGACTTCCACTTTGTAATGTTTCATCAATTTTTCAAGTCCGTTGCTTATTTTTGATCTCAATAAGCCTCTGACCGATGATTCAGCAGAAATTTTGGTGATGTACAATTTTAAGAATGTTTTAATTAATTTAGATTAATCGTGGTTAATTTTTCTGTTTTACCGACCTGTTCCTGCTCGCGGAAGTTCTGCTCGAGCTCGGCGAGGTCCCACCAGAATTGGCAGAGTTTCTTGTTGTCGTCGAGGCGACGTCTCCTCTGCCCGGCCAAATCTTGCAGCTCTTGGTAGCGATCGCGCAGGATTTTGATCCTCTCGTCGACCACTTCCGGCTCAACCGGTTTATATCCGGAGCCATCCGGTCCGTTCGGGTCCCGGAAGCGTTGGGCGGCTATAAATAAATGTTTTATCGAAATTCAGTAATCCATGGATTTCCAAGTAATTAATCCAGTTACGAGTTTGGCACCAAAAAAAATAGAAAAAAAATTTCGTATTATCGGGGTTTCAAATTAAATCCGAAAACTTAAACAATGGGCTAATCGTAATGTTAGATGATCAAAAGTAAATATATCTTTCATCACAAAATTGTTATCCGCAATTTTGCAGGACGGTAATAAGTCGATGAAATCGACCCGAATTCACCCTCTCGAATTTTTTAAAAGTATAAATAGAAAGCCAGCCGATTGTTTAAATTTGCATTTAGCATAAAAAATAAGTTCCTTAAAAAATTCGCAATCCGTGAGTTTCTCTCGTAGGCGCTTGTCTCAAAATTCAAACTACGTACCTCGCTGACAAGAAAAAAAAAGTTTCATCGAGAATTGATAAGCCAGAAAACCCGTTGGATGTTAGGGGTTATATATCAATTAAAAAAATTATTATTCTTAACTTTTGCCGGGCGTGATTTTACCTTTAATTGGGCGTAAAAAGCTGTAAAAAAATTTGCGTCCATCGAATTTCAAGGTCAAACCAAAAGCTAGATGATTTGCTAAGGTTGGATGCAGGCATTAAAAATATGTTTCTCCGAATAATATTTACTAAGAATTAAAACTAATCTGGAGGTTGATATAAAAGTTTCAGCAAGGGCATGAGCTGGAAGACTCTGAATTTTAATCATCTGGACACTTGTTTCATAAAAAATCGTGTTTTGGAGGAAAAATCCTCGTTTTTCTCATTTTAATACAAAAATGCATTCAAATAATCGCGATAAAACCGCTAACCTTCACAGGCGTTGTCGACGCGCTCGCCGATGGTGCGCAGCTCGCTCTCGGACAGTTTGTGCTTCTGAAAAAAACCAATAATTTCTGCATACAATGCGGACTATTACCACGAAAAAACCGATCATAGTACAGAACTTTTTTAAAACATGAAATTTAAAAAAATTTTAGACGTTTTCAGCGTACAGTGAAAAATGGTTTGATTTCAAAGTTATCTTCTCAGAGTAAATAACAATTTTAATTTTTATTAAATTCTGCAAGAGTTGTTACAATAATGGCAGATCGATTTTTTGAAAAAAATTCGTCGAAAAATTAGTTTAAAAAAATTTAACTGACCTGCAACAACTCCTCGACTCCCATCAGATGTCCTCCAAGATCGTCGGAAAGGAGGCGCGTCTTCGTCTCGTCCATCAGGTCCAGCGTTAGCAGCATATCGTGGAACACGTTCTGGCTGCCCATCGACAACTCCAGGCGGACACGACGGGCCAGTAGCAGCTGAAAAATATTTTATTGATATTCAACAGCTTCAAACTCAGCTCCTAGACAAAAGTTCTCAAAAAAAATATGTTTTGGCAAACCGCCTAGATGGGCAATTTCGTCGTTACTTAATTGTTGTGTCGTAAGCAAATGTCTTAAAAAAGCAGTTTTTCGTTTGCACTTTTATCAGGTTTAGAACAAAAAATTGTACGATTTAGGCAATTCTCCATGTAAATAAATGATCGGCAACCCGTATTTAACGCCCCTTCACGCCCTTTCGCGCCCTCCTGTATTTCGCGCCCCCTGTAAATAACGCCCCCTGTATTTAACGCCCTTCTGTATTTAACGCCCTCCAAATGACCACGAAAAGGGCGTTATTTACAGGAAAAAGCTCGTTTTGCAGGGCGTTATTTACAGGAGAGCGTTAAATACAGGGGGCGCGAAATACAGGGGGCGTTATTTACAGCAGGGCGTGAAGGGGCGCGAAAGGGCGTTAAATACGGGTTGCCTAAATGATCGTTAAAAATTATTCAGAAAACCGTTAAATTTCTGCCAAACCAGATCTTCTTACTTTTATTTTTGTTCCGGTTTTACTCTTTCCAGAAATTTTATTTAAAGCAAGTGGACTAGTAAAAGAATTTGATTTTTTGTATGTTTAGCTGATGACTAAAAACGTGTTTCTTCTTTATTTATAGATTATTCCATGGCCTGATTTATAGGGTTACGCTATAAATTTTGATTTTTGCGTTTAATTTTTAATATAAACTAAAATTATTGTGTATTTAATATAGGTTTGAAGCAAGAGTTAGGCACTAAATATTAAAACATTTTTATTTAGGTTTTTGGGTACCAAAAAGATATGTTTCATTTTCTTTACAGCCCGTACCCAGAATGGATTAGCGAATTCGACGTTGTACATTTTCCCTTGCATTAAAATTAAATATTTCATTTCACCGATTTCACCAATCTTTGCACGGTTCTGCGGCTAGTTTAAATGAAGAATCGGTTTGAATTTGCCATATTGTTTCTTAAACTGTAATTTGCAATTCTTGCTCGTTCCCAAACCCTTTTAAAAAACTAAGTTTCGACTTTGTTGCTGCTGTCCTCCAAAATTCAAACAATAATGACACCCCGATTATTTCGATACCCACCTGAACCAGTCGATTCCACAGTCGCAGAACGTTATCCTTCCGCTCGGTGATCTCGTCGATTTTGTGGTAGTTCTCCATCTCGAGCTCGCCTAGAAGCAAATAAAACTTAATTCTTTAGACTCAAAACATTGAAATTTGAAAAAAACTTGAATCAACCAATATCCAGCATTAATTAACGTGCCTTTCGAGCCATGAATCCAGTAAATTTTTAAATCACAGTTTTTCCACTCAAAATCCTTCAAAAATTACCGGCAACAGCGATAACGGCCTGCACGCGTTCCTCATAGGCGTAGATGTCCGTCTCGATCGCCTCGTGTTTCTTGGTGGCAGCCTGGAAAGGCAAAAATTGTCTCTGCTAGTCTGCCCTCCTCTCGGGGTCCGTCCATTTCCTCCTCCAATCTCTGCTAGCCTGCCCTCCTCTCGGGGTCCGTCCATTTCCTCAAACAATCTCTGCTAGCCTGCCCTCCTCTCGGGGTCCGTCCATTTCCTCAAACAATCTCTGCTAGCCTGCCCTCCTCTCGGGGTCCGTCCATTTCCTCCTCCAATCTCTGCTAGCCTGCCCTCCTCTCGGGGTCCGTCCATTTCCTCCTCCAATCTCTGCTAGCCTGCCCTCCTCTCGGGGTCCGTCCATTTCCTCAAACAATCTCTGCTAGCCTGCCCTCCTCTCGGGGTCCGTCCATTTCCTCCTCCAATCTCTGCTAGCCTGCCCTCCTCTCGGGGTCCGTCCATTTCCTCAAACAATCTCTGCTAGCCTGCCCTCCTCTCGGGGTCCGTCCATTTCCTCAAACAATCTCTGCTAGCCTGCCCTCCTCTCGGGGTCCGTCCATTTCCTCCTCCAATCTCTGCTAGCCTGCCCTCCTCTCAGGGTCCGTCCATTTCCTCCTCCAATCTCTGCTAGCCTGCCCTCCTCTCGGGGTCCGTCCATTTCCTCCTCCAATCTCTGCTAGCCTGCCCTCCTCTCGGGGTCCGTCCATTTCCTCCTCCAATCTCTGCTAGCCTGCCCTCCTCTCGGGGTCCGTCCATTTCCTCAAACAATCTCTGCTAGCCTGCCCTCCTCTCGGGGTCCGTCCATTTCCTCAAACAATCTCTGCTAGCCTGCCCTCCTCTCGGGGTCCGTCCATTTCCTCCTCCAATCTCTGCTAGCCTGCCCTCCTCTCGGGGTCCGTCCATTTCCTCCTCCAATCTCTGCTAGCCTGCCCTCCTCTCGGGGTCCGTCCATTTCCTCCTCCAATCTCTGCTAGCCTGCCCTCCTCTCGGGGTCCGTCCATTTCCTCAAACAATCTCTGCTAGCCTGCCCCTCCTCTCGGGGTCCGTCCATTTCCTCCTCCAATCTCTGCTAGCCTGCCCTCCTCTCGGGGTCCGTCCATTTCCTCAAACAATCTCTGCTAGCCTGCCCTCCTCTCGGGGTCCGTCCATTTCCTCCTCCAATCTCTGCTAGCCTGCCCTCCTCTCGGGGTCCGTCCATTTCCTCAAACAATCTCTGCTAGCCTGCCCTCCTCTCGGGGTCCGTCCATTTCCTCAAACAATCTCTGCTAGCCTGCCCTCCTCTCGGGGTCCGTCCATTTCCTCAAACAATCTCTGCTAGCCTGCCCTCCTCTCGGGGTCCGTCCATTTCCTCAAACAATCTCTGCTAGCCTGCCCTCCTCTCGGGGTCCGTCCATTTCCTCAAACAATCTCTGCTAGCCTGCCCTCCTCTCGGGGTCCGTCCATTTCCTCAAACAATCTCTGCTAGCCTGCCCTCCTCTCGGGGTCCGTCCATTTCCTCCTCCAATCTCTGCTAGCCTGCCCTCCTCTCGGGGTCCGTCCATTTCCTCAAACAATCTCTGCTAGCCTGCCCTCCTCTCGGGGTCCGTCCATTTCCTCCTCCAATCTCTGCTAGCCTGCCCTCCTCTCGGGGTCCGTCCATTTCCTCCTCCAATCTCTGCTAGCCTGCCCTCCTCTCGGGGTCCGTCCATTTCCTCCTCCAATCTCTGCTAGCCTGCCCTCCTCTCGGGGTCCGTCCATTTCCTCCTCCAATCTCTGCTAGCCTGCCCTCCTCTCGGGGGTCCGTCCATTTCCTCCTCCAATCTCTGCTAGCCTGCCCTCCTCTCGGGGTCCGTCCATTTCCTCCTCCAATCTCTGCTAGCCTGCCCTCCTCTCGGGGTCCGTCCATTTCCTCCTCCAATCTCTGCTAGCCTGCCCTCCTCTCGGGGTCCGTCCATTTCCTCCTCCAATCTCTGCTAGCCTGCCCTCCTCTCAGGGGTCCGTCCATTTCCTCCTCCAATCTCTGCTAGCCTGCCCTCCTCTCGGGGTCCGTCCATTTCCTCCTCCAATCTCTGCTAGCCTGCCCTCCTCTCGGGGTCCGTCCATTTCCTCCTCCAATCTCTGCTAGCCTGCCCTCCTCTCGGGGTCCGTCCATTTCCTCCTCCAATCTCTGCTAGCCTGCCCTCCTCTCGGGGTCCGTCCATTTCCTCCTCCAATCTCTGCTAGCCTGCCCTCCTCTCGGGGTCCGTCCATTTCCTCCTCCAATCTCTGCTAGCCTGCCCTCCTCTCGGGGTCCGTCCATTTCCTCAAACAATCTCTGCTAGCCTGCCCTCCTCTCGGGGTCCGTCCATTTCCTCCTCCAATCTCTGCTAGCCTGCCCTCCTCTCGGGGTCCGTCCATTTCCTCAAACAATCTCTGCTAGCCTGCCCTCCTCTCGGGGTCCGTCCATTTCCTCCTCCAATCTCTGCTAGCCTGCCCTCCTCTCGGGGTCCGTCCATTTCCTCCTCCAATCTCTGCTAGCCTGCCCTCCTCTCGGGGTCCGTCCATTTCCTCCTCCAATCTCTGCTAGCCTGCCCTCCTCTCGGGGTCCGTCCATTTCCTCCTCCAATCTCTGCTAGCCTGCCCTCCTCTCGGGGTCCGTCCATTTCCTCAAACAATCTCTGCTAGCCTGCCCTCCTCTCGGGGTCCGTCCATTTCCTCCTCCAATCTCTGCTAGCCTGCCCTCCTCTCGGGGTCCGTCCATTTCCTCCTCCAATCTCTGCTAGCCTGCCCTCCTCTCGGGGTCCGTCCATTTCCTCAAACAATCTCTGCTAGCCTGCCCTCCTCTCGGGGTCCGTCCATTTCCTCCTCCAATCTCTGCTAGCCTGCCCTCCTCTCGGGGTCCGTCCATTTCCTCCTCCAATCTCTGCTAGCCTGCCCTCCTCTCGGGGTCCGTCCATTTCCTCCTCCAATCTCTGCTAGCCTGCCCTCCTCTCGGGGTCCGTCCATTTCCTCCTCCAATCTCTGCTAGCCTGCCCTCCCTCTCGGGGTCCGTCCATTTCCTCCTCCAATCTCTGCTAGCCTGCCCTCCTCTCGGGGTCCGTCCATTTCCTCAAACAATCTCTGCTAGCCTGCCCTCCTCTCGGGGTCCGTCCATTTCCTCCTCCAATCTCTGCTAGCCTGCCCTCCTCTCGGGGTCCGTCCATTTCCTCCTCCAATCTCTGCTAGCCTGCCCTCCTCTCGGGGTCCGTCCATTTCCTCCTCCAATCTCTGCTAGCCTGCCCTCCTCTCGGGGTCCGTCCATTTCCTCCTCCAATCTCTGCTAGCCTGCCCTCCTCTCGGGGTCCGTCCATTTCCTCCTCCAATCTCTGCTAGCCTGCCCTCCTCTCGGGGTCCGTCCATTTCCTCAAACAATCGCTGCTGGCCTTCCTCAGCCCTAAATTCCCCAAAAACCTCTGCAGCATACCTCAACGGAAGCCAGGTCATTTCCAAAGTTGTCCTGGCTGACGAGTCTCTGGTTCTCCGTCAACCACGTCTCCCTCATCGCCGCCTTCCTGTTGAAGCGAGCAGCGAGCTGTTCGAGCTTCTCCTGCCTGATGATCTCTTCCTTGAGCGCGAGTTCTCGCTCATGCTCAGCCTTTTCGAGGTTCTCCCAAGCCTTGTTGATGTCGGCCAATTTCCGGCCTTCCCTCGGCTGGAATGCGCGCTGGTTGTTGGCCCGCATGGCCGATTGGAGCGCGAACATGAGCACCTGAAAAAAGTTAAGATTTCCACGTAGATAAAATTTTGAAAAAGTTAGATTTTAGCATAGGAAATATCTTATTTTCCATATCTCTCTTCCTCGCCCTCTCTCTATCTCTCTCTCGCTCTAGCTTTGCCTCTATCTCTGTCTCAACCTCTGTCTCTATCTGCCTCGCTCTCGGGCTCTCTCTCGCTCTCGCTTACTCTCGCTCTCTCTCTCTCTCTCTCTCTCTCTCTCTCTCTCTCTCTCTCTTTCTCTCTCTCTCACTCTCCGGCTCTCTCACTCTCATCCTCTCCCTATCTCGCTCTCTCTCTCTCCAACTCTCTCTCTATCTCTCCCTCACCTCCAATTCTCCCTTCGCATCAAATCTCGGCGGTTTCTCGGTGGTACGGTACGTGTTGAATTCGGTCAGTTGATCCTGGACGCCTTCAAGATGATTGGCAAAGTTTCGGTCGTTCAGCTCGGCGATTTTTCGCTGGATCCATTCGAGGAGATCGTTGCTGTCCAGCTGGTACTTGTTGATCATCTTCTCGTTCTCCAGCAGCTCGTTCACCACCTTTCCGATACGTTTGCCCTAAAAGAAAGTGAATTAAAACGAAAGCTACGGAATTCATATAATTTTCCCTTATGTACTATTTTTAGCATTTATTATTCATATGAACTTTTATTAGACGCTCAATCGCTCATCGCTAAATTAGTCAACCCTTAAATCGCTCAACTTCGAGATTTTTGGAACATTTTTCCACAAATTTAATAGTTCCCGAAAAACTAATTTATATTTTATCTATGTAAATCAAATTTGAATTTGTAAATTCTTATCTAATTTAGATTACTATTTACTATTTATATGGTGAGAAACTCCGGATTAATTCTTCAAAAAAAGGAAGTACTATCTAGGTTTTTGAAACATTTTTCATAAATTCTTGTGTCAAAAGGGAAGGGTGGAACTCGTCGGAAAATGTAATATAATGAATAAAGATTGTGTTATTTATAGAATCATCTCTTGAGAAGAAAAGCCACATTAAAATAGAAATTTGAGGGACCATGGATTCATCAATTAATGACCCGAAAAATTGACGGGTTTTGAAATTATTTGAAACATTTTGCCGAACAGCCATAATTTTAGTTTTTTTTACTTTTGGCTATGTAAGAATGTAAATTGTGATTTTGGCATATTCGCGTATTCGTATGAATTTGAATGAATAGGACGAATTTGCGAAATCTTTCTTGGGGCACATTAATATCACCCAAAATTTTGATAATTTTAGCAATATTTGAAACATATTTTTCTATGCTAAAGTGCTCGATAGATAACTAAGTGACTATAAAACAGACCTGGATGGTCTCCTGCTTCATCTTGTTGAAATAGTGGTAGTAGGTGACGACGTAGGTGATGATCGACTTCTCGTCGGGCACGTCAACGTTAACGTCTGAAAATCGAATTTGCAAAAAGTAAATTTATATGTTTCGTACGATCAGAAAAATTGCTTTAAAAAATTATGACTTTAATCACATTTTTTTGGGGCTCGGTCAGATTTTTGCGAAATAATGTCTACATTTTACAAAATGTTCTAAACGATCAAAAATACGATACATCCGCTTCACGTTGGAATAGGCTTTAAAAAAGTTAAAAAATTTTAGAATTTAAATAATAAATTTTAGATTTCAAAGAACAAAATCGTAATCCCGATTCGACAAGGAGGAGCCTTTTGCAAAGTTTCGCCACCCTTTTACCCTATTTTTGTTGTGTTACGCGCGCTGTGAATCGGACGTTCCGGGGTTTTTAGGTGCAAAGCGAATAGAAAAAGCCATAGGTCTATTTTTTCTATTTTTTAAACCAAGTTTTTCTATTCACGCAAAAACCCGCTATTTTTGAGATTTTCGCAATGAGTTGTGGACAAAAGAAATTTTTGAAAATTTTTGATTCGGTTTTCATGATTTCGAGTCCTGGATTTGCTGCCTATAAGATTACGAAGCTTACGAAGAAGAATTGACAATTTAGTGAATTTTATAGCCCTAAACTACCTTAAAACACATTTTTCTTCCTTTTAATAGCAGTTATGTTGCTAAATTTTCATGTTTCATCAAATCAAAATCTACTCTAAACAAATCATAAATATAATAATATAAATCAACAAAAAAGCTATCATCAAAAAAAAACATATTTTAGATTTTTTTCTTCCAGAATTTCTAGGTTTTCAGATTCACCATCATAAATCGAATTTTCAGAATATCGACGTTTTCAGCGCTGTGTTTGCTAATTTTCACCAACCAAGGAGTTTAACTGTCATGACCAAGCCTGGCAGCGCAATACAATTTGATGAAACACGATTTTTATAGCCAAAAGATTTTTAAAGATTTCGGTCGATTTAAAAAAAACCTAAAAATCTGCTTTTTTTCTGGCATACCTTCCGGGTCGAGGAACTTGTTGAGGCCGAGCTGCTGCTCAGCCACGTCGAACGCGTTGCCCAGATTGTAGAGGGCGTTCGACTTTTGCAGCTGGTCGTACTCGATCAGGTCGGCGCGGTGCTTGTGGATGAGGGCGTTGAAGGCCAACCCGTCGCGCCAGCTGAAAAAATTCAGGTGTTTCGTTTTCGCTGGACATAAATTTTTTATTGTAAGCAAAACTTGTTGATTAAGGCAAATAATTAAATTAACGTATAAAATGCCATTAAAAATTATTTTGATTTTGCCGGCAGAAAAGCGCGTTTCAAAAAATCGACTAACTAGCGAAAAATTTCGTGTCTTACTATCTACTATCTAATTTTCTTGTAAAAACGATTTATCGCTATTTTTCCAAAATGGTGTATGCCAGCCGACCCGTCTTTCCTAAATGATCGCTGCTAGCCTGCCCTCTCTCTCCTCAATGATCTCTGCTAGCCTGCCCTCTTTCATCAATGCACTCTGCTAGCCTGCCCTCTTTCCATAATGATCCCTGCTAGCCCGCCTTCTCTCTCCTCAAAGGTCTCTGCTAGCCTGCCCTCTTTCCTCAAAGCATCACCGCTAGCCTGCCCTGTCCCTCCTCAAAGATCTTTGCTAGCCCGCCTTCTCTCTCCTCAATGATCTCTGCTAGCCTGCCCACCTGGTGGTAAAGTTGCGGACGTTGACATTGGGGTATCCAGCGGTCTTCATCTGGCACCACAGCAGAAGTGCCTCCTTGGCGGAGCGTGTCTCGTGGTTGTCCGCATCTTCGAACGTGATGTCTTGGATCTAAAGAGAAAATATGTGATTTTAAAGGCATAAGATGAAAACGAAGCCATAAAAATGTATTTAGATGGCGCAGATATTTTTTGAAAGGATTTAATTATATTTGTGTAATGGAAAGAAGAATAATTTTTGAAGAAGTCTCAAAGTTGATTAATGTTTTTGAAAGTCCGCTGAATTGGAACTTTGGTGAAACACGAATTTTCAAAGATTTTTTTGCTAACTGAGAAATTAGAAATGAAAATCGTATTGCTAGTAAAACTGCAAACATAACTTTTAATGGATCGCTGAAACATTTATTTTCTTAAATTTTTTGTCTTAGTTTTCTAAAGCGGTAAAGCTGAATTGCATGGTAATAACTTGAGCAAACTAATAACTAAGGTAACTGATAATTAAGCAAATGATAAAATTAAATAATAAATGCGCAGCGTGTATTACGCTGCTAAAGAAACGACCAGAATCGAAAATCTATGAAACACGATTTAAAAAAATAATTTCTGCAAAGGCCGTAAGAAAAGCAGTCGAATTTATTCAGTAGGTATTTAATAATTTCACTAGAAAAACGCTATTAATTTGCTTAAAACGTATCTATAATGCGCTCTAATATTTATATTACTAGAATAGAAGGAGTCAACAATTAAGCGCAAAAATTTTAGATTTTGCCAAATTTTTGAAAAATATTTTTTCAAGAATTTTGCTGTACAGTAATCATTTCCGTCTTGTTTATATTAATCTAATAATTACCTGGAAGCGCAAGATGATGGTCCAGATGAGACCGAGGGTGAGCCTTGGGTTCCCGTCGACGATGTCGTGCGATCCCAGATTTTCGAGGTGCACGTGCTGATCTCTGAAAAAAATTGGGCGTTTAAACCCAGTAGTAGTATTAGATTTATTTAAATTATTTAAATAAATGCAAGTTAGAAAGCTAAAAATATTGCTTACTTGAAAAATTTTCACATGATTAATTTTTGCCGAAACTTAATTTTTCCAAAACATATTCCAAAACCTTTTATACAATTCTCCACCATTTTAATGCCAATTTTATATTATTTTAAATATTGATAATATCATGAAAACAGCTCAAAAAATTTAATTTACAGAATTTAATAATTTATAAATCAAAGAACAAACCTCAAAAACTGCAGGCCCTTGTCCACATTCTCCAGACAATGGATGCGCATTTTTCCGCGGGTCGGCTTCGGCTGAAAATTTGTGGAATTATTGGCCGTAACTAATATGTGAATCTAGTAATTAACACCCTCATTATAAATAACATCCAAAAAACTTTTGCGACTTAACTGATGTATGGAACACAATATTTCAAAAAATCTTGACGATACTTGTCATACTGCTTTTTAACAGTTAAAAAATAGGGTTTAACACTAACAACTTTAGCTTTAAACATTGTTTTTAAAATTGCTATTAAAGCTTTTCCTAAAATTTCTTTGAGAATTTTTGTTTTAGAAAGATGATGTTACAGGAATGGCACTAGTTGGGCGCTTGTTGAGGTTAGCGATTTTACCCAACCAGGCAAAAATTTTCTAAAATCTAAAATTTCCTATGCAATAAAAGATTGTGTTTCAAAAAGTTCCGTAGATCGGATATTTTTTAAGCTGCCAATTAGATTTGGCTGCGACTTTCACTTTAAAAAATTCAAACTCGTGGAACAGCTTACCAGGCGTTCCCCGGACAGCACTTCCAGCAGGCGCAGCAGATTCTTGCCGTCCCGCATGTCTGCGTACAGATCCTGGAAATATTTGCGTATTTTTTTATAGTACTAAAATTTAGTTGCTTTTTCTAATTTTTAAATGAATATATAAAGTCATTTGGTTTAAACTACGGTAACTATAATACCGTGAATTTGAAGAAAAAAGAAAAATGCTAAAGAACCACGCATGTTCTTACTAATAAGCCGAAAATAAAATCTCGAAATTAGGAACTTTTCCGAAACATTTTTCCGTAATCTCAAAATTTTTAGGGCTTGACGCTGATGTTGATGTTGTCATAAATCTAATACAAAGAACATAAAAATACTTTGGAGTCCGTTTTTGGCAATCACTATCGCCATAAAAAATTTCGAAGTTACCAATTGATACGAAACATTTTTTCGTAGTTTCAGAATTTCTGCTTTTTTTTATTTAGCATGAAGTGCTTTTATATGGCAGCCTTAAAAACGTTGCTGTCTTTTGTATATTACGAATACGCAAAATGGTTTTATTGACTTAAAATATCTTTCTTGAGATCGTATTGCTTTTCAAATTAAAGTAACACTTAAAATAAATTAATCACATTGAAGACTTCGGAGGATTCGACGCAGTATTAAGGACAACGAAAATTCGGATGTCTAAATAAATTGCAACATGTGTTTTTAAAATTTGCCCGCCACTAGCAGACTTTAAATAGGTTGAAAACTGTTTTAAATTAAATACCCAAAATATAGATAAAGTTTCCAAGTATTTCATATCGAAAGCGGGCTGACCTGAACTTTGCAGTTGACACGGATGAGATGCGAGTTGACCCATTTGGTGAACGTCTTCTTTTGCACGTTTTCACGCTCGTCTGAAAATCGATAAAAATAAACCTAAGCTCATTTTTATTTACTGATTCGCCACTTTATTGACTTTTTTGAAGCCAAATAAGTCACTACCGGACAAATTTTAATTGGTATAACAATGCTCTAATTTATCAATGTGGTATAGTGAAACATTTTTTTCGAAAATCCATTTTTTCTTGGAATCATATATTTTATTAAGTAACGCTTAAAATCGGTTCAAATCTATGCTAAATTAATAAAACATTTATCAAAACCCCAAAATCGAATCAACCAACTAAAAACAAGACTGATCTACGGCAGCTTGACTGGAAAATGGAAAATTTTAAAACACCTTTTTTTAAAACTAGCGAAATTCGATTTCAAATTTTTGGTATCTTTTAGGTTTCGGCATGATAACGATCTCAAAAAGAACACGGCATCATTAATTTTGTTAGAATTAACTTTGATATAGACAAATCCAGAAACATGTTTTTTTTGAAAATGGAAATGCCATAGTTCATTTTTATCCATTTAATGGTGGGGTTAGCTGTTAATTTTATTAGGGACAAGAAAAAATAATTACAGATTTTTCAAAATAAAAAAAATGACATTAAGAAATATTAGCAACAAATTCAGAAAATTTAGTAATGAAATTCCGGTCGAAAGGCAGAATGGAAAATGTTGAAACCCATTTTTTTGAAAACCCTTGAAACCCAAATTTTCCTGGACGCGCGGCCCCCGAAAAATGGCCTTTAGAAAAAATGGCCGCTAGGAAGACAGGGTTTTAGGAAAAGTGGCTTTTACAAACAATTACTTTAGGAAGAATGGATTTAGGGAAAATGACGATCGTCCGAAAATGTTGAAACCCATTTTTCAAACCCATTGAAACCCAGAGTTTTCATGGACCCGCGCTACCTTTCAGCTGCCTAAACCGGATATCGATGCCCGAAATCTCATTTCCGGGCGTCTTCTCGCTGCACACGGCACTGCCGTCGTACTGTAGGTGTTGCGGGGTGTGTAACGGAGTGCGCATCACCACCACCGCGTCCCCGGCATGGTCGATAATTTCGGATGTGGGCGAGATGTCGTCCCCATCCAACGCCACGTAGTATCTGATTTTCAGATCTTTAGGCCGCCTCGACACTGGCGTCTCTTCGATTACGCCATGTAAATCCTGGAGGGTTTTGGGCTTTTGGAGGGTGGAATTTGCATAGCCGGAATCGAATTGCGCGGAATTATCGGAATTTTGTGAATTTTCGACATTTTTCAAGTTTGTCGGTATTTTTTCGAGGGTTCCAGACCGTTCCTGATGACGCTCTGAATCTGATACGGGAGAATTAGCAGAAGTATGCGAATTTTCCGAATTTTCGAGATTTTCCTGAATCTTTCCGGACGTTCCGGACACTTCCTGATGACGTTCGGCATCACCAGAATTTTTCGCCTTCTTCGATTTCCTCGTTTTCTTTGATTTTCCGGCACCTTCCGGCTGACGCTGCAATTCACCGGAAATTTCGGAACTTTCCGGTGCCAATTGGCCTCTGATTAATGTCGGCGTCCGAGCCGCGGCTCCCAAATTCAGGGTGTAATCGATTACGCCCAAATTCTCGGGATTTTCCGTGCTTTCCGGATGCTCCGGAAGGGGAACCCGGTCTCCCCGTGGTTCCGGCGTTTTCTCAGAATTTGGCGTGTCGACTAGATCGATGGTCGAGTCCAAATCCAGCTCTTCCGCTTCGGCCATGTTTCAGGATTTTTTGAGGTTTCGGAAAATTGTCGAAAATTCAAAAATTTAGAAACTTTGAAGTTTCAAAAATTCAAGATCTCGTAAGAAAATATGCGGCCGATTTGTTGTTTAGCGTGGCGGGGGAGTGGTGGAATAATCGATCTGCCGTCTCTCTGTTATCAGTGTGTTGCAGCTTTGCCTGGGGTGGGTCACCCTTTTTTATGCACATTTGCGTGGGCAACGAAGGGGGCATTGTTTGCTAATTTTCAGAAGCGCCGGAAATTGAGAAATTAATAAAAAATTCATCAAAAACAATCTCAACAATTCCTTTTTTAAAGGGTTTGAGAAGTCAAAATTAGTGTATGCGAGGATGGATTTGGTTGGATTTTTTTTACATCTTCGAAGTAGCGATATTAAAGGTATTGGGATTCATTAAAAGTGGTAAAAATGGAAAACATTTTTTTTAAGGGCAAATTAACGCTCCTGCTTTCATCTTGTCAAAATTTCAATTGGTGGATTTCCTTTTGTCGAAATATCATTTGTCAAAACTTCAATTTGTCGAAAATTGAATGCCTTTTTGAGCCTCATTTGTCCTGCTCAAACAGTTGGTAGCTTGAACTTTCCGCGTATTGAAATTACGAGAAACCGTTATTTCGATTAATTATATACCAAAAACCATATCTGGCTAAAAATTAATTTGACAAAATGGCATGCAAAAAGGATGTTTCGTTAATTAGACCTATCTAGCTGAAATTCATATAGTTTACTAATAAATCGCCGATCATGACCTTAATTCTTCAGTTTAAAATTAGTTCACATTCACCCCCGGCAACGAAACGGTCTTTTTTGACGGTTTATCCATGCCGGTACGCCCGGGGTTTCCTATCATTTTTTGCAAGATATAAATGGGGGCCGCATGGAACTTTTTGAAGGGGAGTGAGAGAGACAGAGAGAGAGAGAGAGAGAGAGAGAGAGCGAGAGCGCGAGCGCGAGCCAGAGCTCATGCTCATCACCCCATCATGCCTTGTGCCCTTCCGGCCACCACAAGAGATCATATCCATGATCCACCGGGGGCGAAAAAAACATCCGCCTCCAGCTGGGCGGGGACAGGGCGGATCGCCGGGATTTTTATAGGATCAGAAAGCGCGGAAAATGGACAGTTTGCTGGTATGAGACCCGGGTAAAAATCTTCAGTGCTCTTTTTCACTTAGAAAATTCTCTCAAACAAAGGTTTTCGGTGCTTTTGCATTATCGGGGGGCAAATGTTTTACTATGGGGCCATAAATGCCTAGTAAGATGTCATATTTAATATGGTTTTTAGTGAAATTTCACTATATTTCAGTAGAAAAACTGCCCAAAAAAATTAAACATTTACAAAACTCCCAAAAATTTTTGTCGATAGTTTCGTATCTTTTTTGGATTTTTTAATCTTTATTTTTACATGTTTTACGTTTAGGAATAGTTAAAATCGTGGTGATAATTATTAGAAAAAGTTACCCCCCCCCCCGATAATGCGAAAGCACCAGCTCTTCATATACCGCTCTTTGTATCCGAAATCTTGAACTTCCATCGATTCGGCCAAGTTGCACGTGTTTCAGCACCGACGCTCTTGAAACGCATTTTTTTGCAGACGTCTACACGCTATGATGCGGAAACTATTGCTACTGCTTGCTCTATCTGCCGTTGCCCTGGCGGTCCCCTTCATCGAGCCCCCGAACCGGATTTCGAAAAAAAATGTGAGTTTCGGGGATTTGTTGGGGCTAAATGTTTTTAGCGCTACAATAATAGCTTTTAAGACTGGAAATAATTTAAAAACTCTACGGCGTTTGTGGCTTGTATTAAACGAGCACGGTAGAACCTTAACAAAGTTTTGCGATAATTTTTTAAGGTTTTGGCATTTGTTTTTAACTAGCGTAATCGTTTTAACCCTTTTAAAAACGGCAACTCGTCTAGGTGGTCTGCCCTATTTAATAAGGAGTTTACTTTACCCCCCCACAGCCGAAGGGTCGCAAAGTTTTCGGTATTTTTGCTTATTTTGTCGGGATTTTTGCAACGCCATTCGATAGAGCGTCGAAAAATATACTACGAGTGTTAATTTCAGCGTACAATAATGTACAATAAAAAAGTTATAGCCAAAAAAACTTCCGGCTGGGGGGTAAAGTAAACCGTAGCAATTTTATTTTATTTTTGACTGCCGTAATCGTTAAACCCTTGAAAAAACTTTATCTAGAACAGAATTTACTACTCTTCTTAATGAGGTATGATTACGGTCAAAAAATTTAGGTCCGAACGCGCGGCAAAGGGCATTTGGAAATCGCTGGGGCCCGGCGACGCGGTATGCTTTGATATCGACGAGACGCTGAGGAAGGATAATATTTTACTGGTAATTTCTAGAAACCTAAGCCATTAAACTTAATAATACTTTACAGGAATTCGCCAACTGGCTGGGCGTGGGCGATTTTGTACAAAAAGTCACAAATATGCCGTTTTCACCGACGTTCACCCACGCGTAAGTATAATATATCGCCCAAAACGAAAGTATCAAGGTTAGGGAAAATGGTAAATTACTGGAAAACATGAAACATTATTTCAAAAAAATACGGCCTTGATTCGCAAAAAAATCCGATTGTGGGCTTTTTAAAAAAAAATGAATGCACCAAAATTTAATGAAAAAAATTCTAAATGGGTTATTCTACTGAGGAAGAAAAAAAAAGATGTTTCAAAAAATGATGAGTTTTTCTCGATGAGTGAAAAGTTATTAATCCGTCTTTGATGCTGACCAGAAAAATTCCACTGATTTGGCCCAATTTAGATTTCCTAGATTTTCAAACTTTTTAAATGATCAGGATGTTCTAGAGACTCGATGCGCCTTCGTCTAAGCATTATGAATTTCACGCGGGAACAATATAACGAATTCCTACAGCTTCACATCAGTACCATCAGGGAAAAGGTAGGAAAATTTTATTTTTGGCGGCATCTGACCGTATCGCATCGTACTGGCACGCGATCCGACTTAGCGAATCGGAACGTTTCGTAGCGTAGTAAAGCGTAGCGTAACGTAGCCTATCGGAGCGTAAACTAAGGTAGCGCTTCGGAACGTAAAGTGACGCACGGTACCGTATCGGCGCATGATGAAACGTAGCGTAGCAGATCGTAACGTTACGTAACGTAGCGTAATACTTCACATAGCCGTGAGAACCCAACGTAACGTAGCGTAGCGGAACGTAGCATAGCGTTTCCAAAGGTTACATTACGTAGCGTTCCGGAGCATTACACAGCAGATCGGAACGTAACGTCACTTCGCGGAAAATAGCGTAACGTACCGTTGCGCAACGTAAGATATCGCAACGTACTGTAGCGTAAGGTAACCTATCGAAACGTAACGTTGCGCACCGTAGCCTACCTTACGTAACTTAAAGTATGAATTACTTTACCTAAGCTCATTTGTTAATTTATGCAAATTTCAGTCCTCCCCTGGGGCTCGCGACCTGATCACTACCCTACGCAATAAGGGAATCGACGTCTATCTGGTCGGTGGCGGCTTCAGAGAAAATGCCGACAATATGGGCAACTTTTTGGGGATACCGAGGTATCGAAACGTTAGAATCCGGCCTACAAAAAGTGTGGATTTTTAGGGACCATACTTACTCTCACGATTTGGTTTTTGACGCGGATGGTCGGTATAAAGATTTGGATGTTTCAGGAATTTCCGACGGTCAGGGAAATGTGGGTTGGCTTAATTGTGCCGCGTTTTGATCTCGTTTTACTAGCGCTAGACATCACTTTAGCGCTTTATGAATGATGTAATTTTATAGGCAAGACAAAGGCGCATCTTTTGGTATCATTAAAACCGCCAAAATCAAATATAAAATTTTTTATGTGCAAAAGCAATTTTTTTGGCGGCGTAGAATACCTTTTTACCCAAAAAAAAATTATATTACATTATCCTGTAACGTTTTATACACCAAAATATGCGTCTTTTCCTGGGCTATAACATGGCGTAAGTGGCTAAACCGAAAATCTAGGATCTCCCGAGAAAAGGGCCATTTTAGCACGGAAAGTCAAACCTGCTACGCGTGCTGAAAGCCGAAAGGCAAATCGACAACCTGGTGATGATTGGCGATTCGACGATTGATATGGTGGCCTGCCCGCCGGCTAATTTATGTATTGGATTTGGGAGGTGGAATGTACGTTACAATACTCGAAACAGCCAAATTTCTGCGGAAAGAATTTTTTACCAAAAATCTCTTTTTTTACCGAAAAATTCAGCATGTTTAGAATTTTTACAGAAATTAGGTGAATTTTTGCTAAAT